TGCTAGGGTGCAATGCAAAGGTAAGTTTATATGATGTAAATAGATACCACTTGTGAAAACTTTGAAAACTTATCTTGCTCTTGCAAATGTTCCCATGCGGCATTATGGATTTAAGCCTCCCCTAACTCCATAATCCACTATTCTACCTATCTTGGACCATTACCACATGTAAATTATTATGGTAGGGCTTGCTTTTGGTCCTACAAATTCTCCCCCTTTGGAATCAAACACCAAAAATGATGACATTAGTAGCACAAGTGAGGGTCAAACTTTGTGATCCTTTGTATGTGGATTGGAATAGGTCACAAAATTTGACTCTCACATTACATAGACTAAGCTCCCCCTAAATATATGCATACATATGATGGAGGATGTAGTATATGCATAATTGGCAAATTAATGCTCAAAGGAGTTTAATCTATATAATACATGGAGAAAGCATATAAATACCAAAGTGAAATCAACATGATGATATCGGTTTAGAAATACCACATGTGGAAATCAATTTGATTTATACCACCTACAATGGGTGGTAGATATTTGAAGCATGATGCTTAACTCTGGGGACTCCATTTTCCTTGCAATGAGACTACTACACATAATAATCTTGAAAAGAGTGTTAGTCTCAAACCATCCAACTTATAGAATAACCTCCCCCTAAATTTGTGCATACAAGCATAGAATACTTGTAGGAGACATGCACATTGATTTTTGAAGATCAAAACACCACTTGAAAGATGACATCACATGAATGTGAGAATCATTTTCAAAAATGGTATTTGGGGGACATTATCTACAATTTAGACTTTGGCACATACTAGATAAACAATTGTAAAAACAAGCTATGTGTCATGCTCCTAAGCAATTTAAACCATGTAGGTTTGCTCCAAGGGTAAGAGTGATACCGAGCAAGCCTACCATAAGATATACCTAGTATATGCATGATAAAAGATTCAACATATATATACATCCCCATCCCCATCAAATAGCCACTGAACAAAATCTACTAGATATTATATGTTGCACTAGATGATCCGTCGCTACTGAAGATACCACTCTGAATCATATGGTGAAACTAGTCGTTACCTTCTTCTAGTCGCTAGACAGTCTAATGCTCTTGTTCCCTTCTACCGCTGGACTATTCATTGTAGGTCTATAGGAAGTGGCCATGCATTTGATGTGCACTAGATGATGTGTTGTTGTGCACTTCTCATCATCGGATCGTCTAGCACACGCTGTCACATAGTATTACATAGTTGTGTATCTCCTAGACACTATCAGATTTTATGCCTCCCTTGTGCCTTCACAAAAGACCATTCGGCGCATGCTCTGGTGCTTGCTCTAGTGGGGAATAGTCCCCTTGGCATTTCTGTCCTCAATTGTCTGACGCTAACTCCTTCTAGTTGGACTATATGTTTGTTGATCTTCATAATGTCTTGGGACCAAGTATCACCAGACTGACCAAACGATTGTTTGATGTGTTGTGGTCCTTAGCCACTGAACCATCTACTGAGTGCTTCGTCTACACACTTAGTCTTGTTTGCTATGTTTCTTTACCAGTCATCGTGCTATTTCTTTTCTTGAATCCCTAGTATCTATTATGATCTATCCAATACATCATTAATACATGTGTTAATCCTAGAGTTATGTTACAATCTTTCCCTTTTTGGTGATTGTTGACAACAAAAGCAAGGTAAGCATAAAATTGCCTACAATGTAAACAAATGAAGTACATATGCTTTAGGCTTGCCACAAGCTTGCTTGGATGCCTTACCAACCATTCACTTTGTCCAAAATATTGCCTCATCGCATACTAAATTTGACCACTAAAACCAATTCAATTGAAACACTTGGACTTTCGGACTAGATTATGCTCCCCTTATGCCCATGGGATCATTAAATCTCAAATTTCCCCCACCTTTGGACGTATTGATATGCACTCCCCCTTGATCCTTGATTTCATCATTTACCTTTCTTTTTTCATACATTTTCTCCCCTTTATAAGGACCAAATGTCCCAAGAGGGGGAGGCATGAATTGGGATCTAAAATTTAAGCAGCAAACCTTAGCCTGTGCATAGCCTAACCCCCCCCCAATAAGCTTGTTCACCCTAAGTTCTTCTACAAAGCAAGCTAGTGTGTCCTTGTGGCCAATAAGCTAAACATGTCCTCAGCAAGGCTCACACTAAGATTAGGGTCCTTAGGGTACAAAAGGATAGCTATGATAAGCAGACACTAGCATGCAACCTAGTTTTCACTCAACAAGACTTGCAAACATTGAAAGTAATGTAGGAATGTAAGAGCAAGGAAAAGAGACTAACAGATTTTTCCACATGGTCTAAGGTTGTTGCCACAATCCCCTAATCCACGTTAGAACACCTAAGGCACCAAGACTTGATTAAGCTCCATGTCACAAGTGAATACCCGTTCACCACTTAGACATGGTGGATTTCAATAGCATGTACACGTGTCTTGGAGCCTTCTCAGAGTTGCTCCACTGACTAGGTCACTAGGTCCTACTCTAGGTTGTCTAGGTGTTGGCAAACACCAAGAGTAATAAGTCTTCAAGCCGTCAATTCAGGAAACCCAACCTAGAACAATGGTTGCACTCAAGGCTAACCCTCTGAAAGCCCTAGTTTGGTTTTGGCTAATTGATGAAACCTATTGGACTAACCCTATGTCCAAGGGTGATTATGATATAGGTTGGTCAAGTGATGGAGCTAAATGGCACTCAAGTGATGGAGATGGCTTAAAGATGGTTATCAAATGCTCCAACTTGGAAAAGAAGAAAGAGAAACAAAACCCTATGGAGATCAAGCCAAAGATATAAATAGGGATTTTATTTTGCCAATCAAGACGCAATAGAATGCGTGATTAGAATTAGGATAGATGGCCGTACTATTAAGAGGGGAGCTCTTATCGGACAATTCAGTCATCTAGTGCCACTAGGTATTGGAATACTATGCATTGCATATAGGCCTAGAGCACAATGGAGAACAAGGAAGAAAATGTTTATGAAAAATATTTTACAAATGCCAACTTGACTCTAAATATGTTTGTGAAAATATTTGAGAGTTAGCAACGCTTGCTTGGGGCGCTTTTCGGGCACTTTGTGCTGCCATCTAGGTGGCACTGGACTGCTTGTCTGGTGGGTCCGGACAGGGTCCAAGTGCTACTGCAGCGCGAGCGAATCTCGGGCTGGCACAGTGTCATCCGGTTTGCACTGGATAGGGCACCGGACAGCCTGTCCAGTGCACCGCCAGGGGCACCACCTCTTTTTTCTAGAGGCTTGCACTTTCGGGGACTATGTGAAAAGGGATCACCGGACAAGGCGTCCGGTGCATCACCAAAAAATTCCAAAGAGGGAGGAAAACAGGAAAGTCACGAGTTTGGGCCACCGGATGGGCTGTCTGGTGCACTAGATAGGGTGTCCAGTGCCACTGGAAGCCAACAGCTAGTTCAAACTAGCCGTTGGAATATGACCGTTGGGGTCACTGGACGCAGAAAATCTGCTCCAAAGGGGTAACGGCTCTATTTTGTGGTGGGGGTTAAATAACCCCTTGGCCAGCCATGGCCACCCTCTTGGACCCCTAAACTGCTGAGAAAACACATTGGGAGCAAAAGAACACAATCCACTCCATTGCATCACTTGAGATCACATTTTTGAGTGAGATTGAGAACCTCTAGTGCATTGCATCTAGTTCTTGCATCTTGTGGCACTAGGAAGGGCGAGTTGGGCTGGTAGATTTCTTGTTACTCTTGGTGATTGCCATCACCTGACCGGCCCAAAGCTTGTGGGATCGTTGAGCGGCTATTGGTGATTGTTGTCAGCTCCTATCATTCGATTGTGAGGGGTTCTTGTGCCTTCCCTGCGGGAGAATCATAAAAGGCCACTCTAGTGGATTGCTCGTGACTTGTGTACCCTCACCTTGTGTTGGTTCTTACGGCACCCTTATGTAGGGCTAGACGTGTAATGCCTATTAGCGCGTAAGCCACCAAGTGAGTGTGTCGTCACAACGTGGACTAAGTTGCTAGCAAGCAACCGAACCACGGGATAAATCATTGTGTCATCTTGTTATTCGTTTGATTGATTTATCTCTTGCCCGGTTCGGTATATCATCCTCTACTCCACTTGTATTTACATTCTTTGATATTCATCTCTAGTGAGTAGTTGCTTGCTTTACTAGTTGAGTAGCTAGAAGTAATTAGTTGTTCTCTTTGTGCCAGCTAGCACTCTAGTTAGTATTAGTGACATAGCTCAATTGTTTGCCATAGAGATAATAGCAAACTAGAAATTAGTAGGTGGCTTGCCTTTTCAAGTAGAGCTAGAGCAAAACCGATTTATCGCCATTTAGTTGTCTAACCTCTTGTTCTAGTGTTTTGTAGAATTTTTAATTAGGCTGTTCACGTCCCCTCTAGCCATTTAGGACCTTTCACCCTCAAAGCTCACTTCTTGGTTTGGGTAGCGCTCCAATTATTTCACAACTCTCTCTATATATATGTGCTGGTATGAAGAAATTTTTGTTTCATAGATGTCAAGTTAAAAATTTTCTGTAGTTCTTGTTTAGGGGAACATACTAGCTACACCATTAGGCACATTGCAATGGTGTCAAGACAACGAGGAACATATCAGCTAAGTGTGTCTAGCGCTAGAAATAGAGGCTATACATTTCTTTGCTTTCTTTGAATGGCAAAATAATGTTAGGATTGAGTTTTAAGTTGGATTTTCTTTGTGTGGAGTTAAGGGTTTGCAATAATTGTTATGATTCTTTGCTTTGTAAGGGATGAAGCAGATTCTTTTCATTTATTAAAAAATACACTATTACTGGACTGTCATATCTTTGATGAAGTGGTACTAGTACTAATATCCAAAACCTTGCGGTCCTTCCATAAAAAATTACAATGTAAGTCAAAATTTTGAGGACACATAGCATGTAAAATAGATGTAACTCTACAGCAAACATCACTATATAAGCACTCCTTGGCACAAACGAGAACAAACTCAAGTAGTAGCCAGTTTGCCCTTGTATCTCGTGGCACAATATGCAAATGTGAGAAGGTTCAGAAGCTGCAATCCTGCCATCAACCAGAATAAATGATCAAGATGACCTTCATTGAGATTATCAGGGATCCAGCCATGTCGCCCTCTTCCCACTGTTGCTGAATCCACGAACTTTAACATCACAGAGACAAGGTAGCTTCCAAGGGTTATCATGATCAGAGAGCAAGCCTGACACAGACTCCTCATGGCATCAGGCGACTGCTCGTATGCAAATTCGATGAAACCAACAACGGTGAATACTTTTGCTACACCAACGAAGAAGTACTGTGGTGCCTGCCACAGGATATTCATTGGGGCTGCAGCGTTACGGTGCACTAGGCCTCTTTGGTCCACTATTCTAAGGCGCACCATCTCGACCAGCGCAGCTGAAACCAAAGAAAGCATAGCGAAAACCAGACCGACACCGATGCGTTGAAGTTCAGACAAGCCTCTCTTCATGCCAGTGATCATGCTCAGCATTGGCATGATAACCTTGTTGTAACAAGGGGCCAGGATGAGGATACAGAGGCAGTTGAAGGTCGTCAAAGAGGCTGGAGGTATTGAAAAGCCATATATGTAGTTGTCCATGACCTCTCCTTGTTCGATGAAGAGCGGGAAGAAAGCTTCAGCCATGTTGAAAATTATGCCAGCTAGTAGGACAGGCAACATTCTTGCCAAGATCTTCAGCTCCTCCACCTGTGTCACCGTACAAAGCTTCCATGGACTAGGCACATCAGCAGACGATGTTTCGTCAGGGGAGGAAATGGTGGCAGCTCGATCAAAGAACCTAAATGCGATCATTTTTTTATTCAGAAAAGACATAGTAAAAAATTTGTAGAACTTGTAACCTATTACTGAAAGTAGACACAAAGAAAAGGCATAGTAACAAATTTGTAGAACTTGGCACCATACCTTAGTCCTTCCGTATGCATCAGCTTCCTGCTTCCTACAATTGCTGCCTCCTTGCCTGGCAATTCATAAAGAAGAGAGCTGTCATTTGGCACATCCACATGGACCTTCCGAACAGCTGCAACCACAACCTGGCAAATCCTAGTGAGTGCGCTTCCTGCTGGTTTCTGGTACCTGTAAAGCTTCATACAGGCAAGAAATCCGGCTATTCCAATCACTGAAAACAGTGTAGGGATCCCGAATCCCCATCCCCATCCCCAGCTGTCCTGAACATACACGAGGAGTGTGCTCGCAAAGAAGAAGCCGCCATTGACAGCGAAGTGGTACCAGTTGTAGTAGAGCCCCTTCTGCATCTTCTCTGTTCCATCAGTGTCATCGAATTGATTGGCCCCAAATGTGGGGACACATGGCCAGATGCCACCTAGGCCTAGGGCAGTCAAGAAAAGGCCAAGAGAAGGCCTGAGGAGAGATGTCCAATGTATGAATGCTTGCTGGAATTACTGCTGCAAGTGTCAATAGAACCATTGCCTGCAGACAAAAGTTGAGGCATAAGCACTAGTGATTGTGCATTTCATTTGTGGAACAATCTGAACTGAACATGCAGATGCAGATTTGACAAAGAAAAGAGTGGAGTGCCGATCGTGAGTTACAATGGTAAAGATGGTCAGGGAAACAACGATTGTGCGGCGTCTTCCCCAATATGAATCTGCCAAGAATGCTCCGAGAAGGGGAGTCAGGTAGCAGGTTCCCTGCCATGAAGCTATATTGCTCGCCGCAGTGACACTGCTCTGCTTCCGCACCTTTGTTAGGTAACTGACCAGGTTGGTCCCAACACCATAGTACGCCAAAGAACCACAAAATTCACCACCTTCCAAGAACATGGATTCACAGAAGAAAAAAAAATCAAAGAGAGAAAAAGGCATCGGCAAAATTTTCAAGACAAGAATACATGATGAGGTAACAAAGGTTGGTTGCATTGCACTTTGAAAGCAAAATATAGGTAACAGTGTCTGATTACCAAGAATTGAGTAACAGGCTCTCCATTTCCCAGTATGCTTTTTCGATGCTGGATTGCCTTTGATATCAACAGAGCCATTGCTGGTACATAGTTCATATTCCTGAACTCCATGAACAAATAAGGGGTCATGTTAACATTTGTATGCTACTTTCTTAGATAAAGACATTACCCTCCAATACTACTAGTAGTCCCCGACAGAACTTTGAAGGGAGTAGGAACAGAGATTACCGGACGGCTAGCGGTGAAAGCACTGGAGTGGGCTGCAGCCTGCACACTGTCGGCTTTGTTGGCGATCACTTGCGGCGGCGAGCTGGCAGACAATGGTGCTCCGGTCGACGGCATGTCCTCGCTACCGCCTGACACCAAGAAAGCTACGGAGTCGCCGGTACATTGGCTTGTGCAAGGCTGGCGCCATTGCTCCTCTCCCTCTGCCATGTGCCGTCCGTTCGGCCGCGACGCTGAGCACGAAGGCATCGAGAGTGAGAGGGCAGACGGAGGCGCGATGTCATCAAGAGTATAAATCGGCAAAAGTGCCAATGGAAGTATGGAACGTCGCGGCGCGGGCACGAGCACATGCAGTGCACTGCTATGGATGCAGCCTTTGTCATCGTATGGGTCGAATAAACAAGCGAAAACTTCCATGCTCCCATGCCTTCGCATGGACGAAAACTTCCATGTTTTCTGCCGACTTCCTCCTTTTTCTTATTTTTATATAATAATCCTTTTTAAATTATATTTTAAAAGTAACCTTACTCTGTTTTATTTTCATTTCTAACACTCTTGACTGCACTAGGGATGAAAAATGAAAATTGGTATCCGAATTATAAAATATTTGTATCTGCTAAAATTTGTAACATGGGTATCTCGTATCGGTATTCATATCCATTTCTAATGTGAATACTAAATGGATGTACCCGAATTTGTCTTTCTATATTTTTCTTTATCTGATTTCTAGATCTGCATTCAACAAAAATATGAAATATCTACTTTTATCTGTATCCGCGAAGAATAATGTATAATCAATTTGTTTAAAAGTTTAATCTTGATGACTAGTGACCAGTTATTTAATTTTTAATGTTACAAATAATGCATTGAAACTATTTAATATTATATCTATAAATACCTTTTAATATTAATTTAATATCAATATTGACACATAAAGATTAAATTAGTTTTAGTATTTGTCTAGTTTAGTTTAAACCTAATATATTTGTTGATTAATTAAATCATTTTAATGATTTATTTTACTTATTTATTGATATATATAATTTATAAATATTTTATAAATAATGAATGATTAATTAATATATTTAGTTATTAAATATTTTATTAATAAGTATATTATTTTTAGTGAGCTATCCTTGTCTATGCTATATACCACATACTTTTAATCTCTTTCTTCAGTTGACCTATCATTTTATTAATTATTATTATTCATTAATTTTAGTTTACTTAGATATTGGAGATTATTAGAAGTGTTTTTTTATTCTATTTCTCTTTGATTACCAATGAACTTAGTAGTAAAATTCTACTCATGCATGTTGAATTTAACAATATGCAATGAATTGAGTAAATACCCGAATAGAAATCTAAATCTGAGACGTGTGTTTTGTATTCATTTTCAAAAATATCAATTTCCATATTTGGATTCGAATTAAAATATGGTAAAAGATGATATCCGGATCTGATTCAATGCGCATACGATCCATTTCCATCCTTTGACTGCACTAGGTGGCGCACTATAGCAAAATCAATGTGTTATGCCACCATATGTATTGGCACGATAAGGTATGCCTCATTTGACTGCGCAGGAGGGGTGTACTAGTATATATTTGATGTAGAAACATGTCACGTCATTCGCGTTAGCGTGGTGGTTCTATTTTGCCTCACCATTCGAACTGACGACATGATAACCAGGGGCGACGTCGCATCATCTCTGGGTGGTGCACTGGCACCAGAAAAAAAAATTACTACTTAGTCTATTTTTAACATATAAATCATCAGTTAAAATTAGATATATTTGTACATGGCTATGAAGATTGCGCACCACCATGCATTTTAAGCTAGCTTCGACCCTGACGGCCTGTATATCCATCTATCTTAAAAAGATATATAATATGTTAAAGAACTTGGCAAACCTTGTTATGCAAATGCATATGGTGCGGCAGCTCTTTTTTGCCACACCAGATATGATTTAAAAAGAGTTTAAAAGATAAAAAAATCTCGTACTATCAATCTTTTCAATCGTATCCCTCGCCGCATTTAGCTTATTAAGCACTCACTGATCTTGTTAATTTAGAAAAATTATGTATTTTTTGTATGAATCAAATAGAGGAAAAATTTATAAAATTTTATGTCTCGGCAAGATCTATGCTTAACTCTGTATGTATACATTCGAAGTCCAGTTCTTCGATCTGAACTAGGTGGCATATATGGTTGGGTAATTTTTTCTAGTCTTGATCAAATTTATAGAAAAGTATAATACCTATGGCATCCAGTTACTTTCATAAATTTGGATCAAATATTTATTTTTGTTATTGTACTTATTTAAACTTATACACGTCTATATGTTTTATTCTAAAACTTAGTCAACATTTGTGTAGTTTGACTCAATACAAAGTTAAAATGACATGTATATTTGGAATGAGTATGATTTAAATTTGTTACGAAGTGATGAGTAGCACCGACTAGAGAAAAGACAACTCCAACATGCAGCATCTTGCCGTACCGATGCATGTGATGTGGCAAAGTGATTTCGGCAGGCAATAAGATTTGACACAGTTAAGGGGATTGAAATAAAAAAACAAGTGGGGTTACTTTCAGCAGCATTATTTTAAAAAGTGTTAAAACAAAAAAAATCACGTTCTACCAGCCCATTTGACATCATGTGTCTCACCGTTTTTTTTAAGTTTGGCTTTGTTCGACTGCTCGTAAAACCACTTGTGCTGATTTGTACTGCTGATTTGTTGGGAGAGAAAAAATAATGTACCATGATTTATAAGCCGACTTATAGTAACAGCCGAACACTCCCTTTATTTCTCGCACGGATGATATACCACTCTATATGTGTAAATGTGTTTGGGACGGTGGCCCGTTGAGGCCCTTTTCGTTTTCTCTCAAAAACCAAAACCAGTTGGAAGGGATCGAGGAGGATTAACCTCTCAATCCCTGTGCTTCAGGGATGAAACGAAAATGTCTGAGTGAGCACGCATGATAAAAATTGAAGGGACGATAGCACACGGAGAAGCCTACACATAGGTGTCATAATAAATAATAATAAATTCATGCATGCATGAAAGTACTATACACCTACTTTTACGGCCTCTAGGAGCCTGTTCGGAGGCTATAAACGATTATAGATTATTTACTGCTGGTTGATTTGGTGTGAGAGAAAACTATTATTCTAACTGGAAATTTACGATCGTTTATGACCAAACGAACATGCTCTAGATTTGGAAGCTTGAGGTCTCACGTGTCTTCGTTGTCTCTCCGCTGGTACACTGGTAGCTTGAGAGTCCACGGATGGAGCAGGTGGTTGGAACTTGGAACCGTGGAAGTGGGTAGACCTGACCTGATCAAGTCGGGTCCGATAGGATTGAGTTAAACCAAGAAAAGTATTACATTAAAGTTTTTAATCTAAGTCTAATTTGACGTACTGACAGATTGGGTTAAGTTGTTTCCAATTAGATTGTGTCGGGTTGGTCGGATCGGATGGTCCGTAACGAGTTCATAGAGTAGATCCGCGTACGCGTAGCTCCTCCTCCTCTCGTCTCCTGATATCAAAGACAAATACCCTGCACTCCATGTTTAGAAGATACTCTGTTTTGCTCTGTTATGTGCTCTGCCTGACTGCCTCTGCCTGCAATGGAAGATCATCGTCCAGGATTGGCCAGGGCCCGCACGTCCGAGGAGCAGGTCAGCAGGAGGGTGCTCTGGCTCTTCTTGTCCCAGAGGAATGGAGCTACAATGGGCGTTGTGCGCTTTCTCAACGTCACCGCCGGAAGGAACCAGCACGTGTGGGGAGACTTGCAAAAGATCAGGGTTTATTTGGTTACACTCAAATCAATCTCAATCCACATAGTTTACAAGAGATTAGAGTAAACGTTAGTTTATTTTTCGCTCTATTGTATCTCAACTCATGTATGTTAGAGTGGACTCTAACATAGAAAAAGGTAGAACGTGGTAGGCAGACCAGCAATGGAAGATTTTATAGGAGGATGGATAACTGCATGGCTGCACTTGCAGTCGAGCAAGGAGGGCGCCTATATTTGGCTGTAGTAATATATAGTATGGTTATTAGGATAGCATAATAATGTTAAGATAGCACAGACAACCGAAAATACAAACATGACTAATATGGGTTTTTTTTTTCAAAAAAAGAAGCTCATCAAGATTCAGGCCATCTTTCATATATATATATATACTTAATTAGTCTTCGGATTTGTAGATTATATACCATACGAATTTATAATCATTGCATTTAATCCAGAAACACTTTTATACCAATGTCAATTCCATAGGCGGTGAAAGCATAGGGCCTGGTTGGTTGCGTATATAACTCCTTCTCCAGCCCCTGTAATGCAAGTTAGACTTGTTTGGTTAGGTGAATATAGCCTTATGCAGGTTAGCGCTATCCCTAAAGCAGCTCAGGCCTGCATCCCACTCCTTTCCCTCGAAATTAGCCGTGTCCACTGTCAAGGATTGCATTGCATCCGCTGTGCAGAAGCGCTGCATCGGCTTTGCCCCTCCCCGCACCCGCTCTGCACCGCGTTTTCACGGGTCACTGCGCGTCCACGCCCCCACTCTGCCCACCTCTCCACCGCGTCTTCTCGGTCCCACAGACCGCGACCTCAACCACAGCACCCCTGCTCTAGACTTCACCGTTGTGGCATCGGGCATGGTTGCGGCGGCGTGTCCACCCAACGGTGACGCGCGGCTTCGACCTCAGCCGTCAAGACCTGGTGCTGGCGTGGAGGCGCAGAATCAATCAATTACCTCCTTTCCCCACTTGGTCTTCTCCTCGTAGCCGCAGCTGATGACGTGGATGGCCTCCTTGATAAGCGCGGCGGGGTCAGCAGCGGCTCCCTGCGGCAGGCCGCCGTCCTCGACGAGCGTGGAGGCGATGAACACGGGCGACTGGCCGAACCGCTTCTCGATGGTCTTCTGCGACATGAGCGAGGAGCGCTCCGGCTCGTCGTACCCCTCCAGCCCCTCCTCGATCTCCTCCCGCTTGAACCAGCCTGTAGAAGCCGAGCAGGCCTAGGCGCGGCTCCTCGCCGCCGTCGGCGCGCCACCCTTCTTGTCCTTGCGGGCCTTGCTGCGCTTGCCGCCACCAAAGCAGCAGCATTCATGGTTTCCAATATCGGCCGAAATCTCATGATATTTTCGATATATCCTCTTTATCCGTCTTATAAAGAAATATCTATCTTTTTCGTATAAGTTTTGTTTAAATTTACTTAAATTCAAATTAAATTTTATTTGAATTTGATTCAATATTTTCGATATATCATGTTTACCTCTTTATCTATGATCTCCAATAAATTTTAATTTCTAAAATAAAAACCTCGGCGGCGGCACCACCACCACCACGATGGGAGAGATTAGAGGGAGGACGAAGACATTACGAGAGGGAGAGACGGCGAGGATCAATGCAACCAACCAAACACAGGCAACTATGCATTGCGGTATCAACCAAACAGAGCTTTAAGTCATGCAAAATGGTAACACAAGACAACCAACACACTCCTTGAAAGCATAGTACTATGCTGGATTAGATATCTAATACTAGATCTTATGCTGGCTACCACAGTGCGAACAACCGATTAGACCCATAGTGTTTTAGAGGACAGACTAAGGTTTTCTTCCGATCGCCCACCTGCAGCCATCCTGGCCGCGGCTTCCACCTAAGAGCGTTCCCCTCCCTCGGCCACCCGCCGGCGGTCTTCCTGGCCGTGGCGTTTCACTAGTATTCCCTGCTATGGCGACCACCACCGTTTTCTCCCCAAGCTTCAGTGACCGTCACTCCTTCCCCAAGTGAGTGCCGGGTCGCTGTCGCTCTACTGGCCAAGCACGGCTGCTCGTCGGTGCTTGCTTCGGGTGCTGTTTTCGGAAGTGTTGCTGGTGTTCGGTCCTCAAGGTATTCGACGTTTTGCCTCTAGCCATGGCTGGTGGCTGCACCTGAACGTGGATTCATCTGGATGATTCTTTTTGATTGACGTCTGGAGGTTAGGCTTCCTCTCTATTGCTGGTGTTCTTGTTCTTCTTCATGGAGCTCCCCGGCCTTTCTTTTTCACCCGATCTCAAGATCCAGACCGAGGTTTGGGAGCGTTTTGGTTTTTCGATCTCTTGCTCTAACCCCGCTAATGGCTCTTTTGCTCTCGTTGTCGCATTTGGGCGGTGCAAATTCTGTTTATCGGAAGTTTCCGTGGGTTTGATGCTTCAAGCAACCATTGGAGGGGTGGCCGCGCGTTTCCATGTTTCTCAGCTTTCTCCCCGGGTGTTCAAGTTTCTTGTCAGCTCTCAGCCTGTGGGCTTCTTCATCCGTCGGCTGATTTCTTTTGAGTGTAGCTCCTTCAAGCTTTATTTTTCACCTCTGCGGAGGTGGAGGGCCAAATTGGCGCAATGAGTTTGCTGCTTTTCTCAAGGAAGAGGAAGCCTCCTGGTCTTATGTTAATTCTGCGGTTCAGAGCAATGCTAAAGCTCGTCAGGGATTTTCCTTTGCTGATGCAGTCAGAAAACCACCTCTTTCTGGTGCCAATTCGATCTCCCTGCTGCAGGATCAGAGATCCTCCTTCAGAAAGTCTGTTCATGATAGAATCGTTTTTCCCAGAGTCTCAGTTTTTTATCGTTTTCAATTTAATCAAAGGGGTCCTAAACCTGGAGATTCCTCCTTGGTTCGTGTGCAAACCGCCCTTGGCTCCAATCAAGTGCGGTGCTCAAGCTGCTTGGCTTCGTCTCACCCAAGAAGCAAATGTAACAACGCCATTAAGTGCTTTGCCTGTCATGGAACGAAAACAGAACGGAAATATCCCGAACCGAACCGCATTGTTTTCTATATTTAATCCGATCGAATCCGTATTTTTTTGTCCGACTTTACCGTTTTCGCTTTCGCATCCGAGATGTTTCGTATTTCAAATGTAAAAGTAGAAAACGGTTTACACATTTTTCGACCGTTTTCTACTTTTCTATTTTTAATTTGAAATATTCCGAATTCAAAATTCGGTTTAAACCGAATTTGGCCAACTGCACAGGTCATAAAGCCCAATTACAGGCTGCTCACCACACAGCTGCGTTCTTTCTACTGGTGGCTATCTGCCCTCTCTTATAGACGGCGCCCAGCCTCATCTCTCTTATTATGTATTTGGTCATGCACTTGTTTAATACTATGCACTTGAACTAGATCATGCACTTGTTAGTTGTGAACTTGTTATGTATTTGGTCGTGCACTTGTTTAATGCTCTGCACTGTGGGTCGGTATTTCGTATTGAATTTTCGCATATCGACCGTGTTCGACATAATTCCGCTCGAATTGGTTCGTTTCCGAAATTCTAGATATTCCGTAAGTTCGTGTTCGTTTTCATGTCCGGCTTGTCCGTTTTCGCTTTCGCTTTCGTATTTCAAATATAAAAGTAGAAAACGGTTGGGGAGTTTTTCGAACGAGTTCGACCGTTTTCATCCTTACATGGATGGGGACATGTGGCGGCAACGTGTTCCTAGGAATTTAATTCCAAAGGCAAGGCACCAATGGATGCTTCAAATGAGTTGGTGGCCGTGTCCCCTCACTCTTCCTGGTTTCGCTCGATTCCAGGGCAGCCCAATGGGCCTTCCTCAAGCAGGCCCCCAATCTTTGAGTCCTTTGTTGATTCTGTTGATTCAATGGTTGTGAAAACGCTTGGCCAGCCCTCGGTTCCGATGCAGCCCGGGGTCAAACTTTTTTTTTCTCCATGCCACTGCCGTCAGATTGAGCTCTAACGGTGTCAAACTGCACATATGAAAAGTCAAAAATACCCTTAAATCTAAATATGTCATTAATTTTTTTGAGCATCTTAACGACTTTAAATGAAAAAACTCAAAACTAGAAAGTTATAGATTTTATCAAGATCTATAATTTTCATATAAAAATTATCTTTTTTTAATACCGAAAAAAGATATGATTAATTTTTCTAAGATATATATTAATCATATCAAATTATCTTCTTTTTTGCGGTATTAAAAAAAATATTTTTTATATAAAAATTATAGATCTCGATGAGATCTACAACTTTTTAGTTTTGATTTTTTTTCATTTGAAGTCGTTAAGATTCTCAAAAAAAATTAATGACATATTTAGATTTAAGGATATTTTCGACTTTTTACACCTGCGGTTTAACACCGTTAGAGCCCAATCTGACGGTAGTGGCATGGAGGAAAAAAAAAAATTAGAGCAGTGGCGCTGAAGACCGCTGAACTTTTCCAGTAGCTCACAGAGGATTACGATCTTTTTTAATGGCTCACGGAAATTCTCTCATTATAAAGGAATGACCCCTCGTCTTCTGAAGTGGGATCGGAGGCGAGACCTGTTTCTTGCGTTCTCTCTGGTGGGGGGGGGGGTCTTCTCAGCTCCAAGTGCGCCTGTTATAAACCCAGAACCTGCACTTGATCACCAGGAAAACCCCAATCCACCCGCGGTGTCGAACCCCTCTCCGCATTCTCTCCAACCAGCCTTAGCAAGCTTTTTAATCCTGAAATGGCCTATCAACGTGCTGATCCTGCACCCTTTGTTCCCAATGGGATGCTTCGCTTGAACGTGCCTGGAAGGGTTCCCATGGTGCGTGCTGTTGCAAGATCAAGGCCCCAACGAAGGAATGAGACGGTGGCCATCGTCACAATCAATCCACTGCTTGGTAATGCTCTTCACTTTCCTGCTGTTAGAGAGGTCCTACAAGAGTTCTTTGAAGAAAGGCATGTTGCATTCACTGATATTCAGCCTAGTCATCTTGGGCAAGCTCTTGTTTGTTTCAATTCTCCGAATCATAGAGATGCTTTAATCATAAGCAGTCCTATGCCAATGGGAGATGTTCTACTAGACATAATCAAGGTAGAAATTGGAGAAGGGTGAATTTTAACCATGAATGCTGGCTGATGTTGATGGGTTTTCCGATAGATTATTGGGAGACAGATTATATTCAAGATGCTATTTGCTTTTTTGGTAGAGTAGATAACTGGATAAACAATAGAAGAAGACTTACCAGATTGCTTGTTAGAGCTAGAGTAGCTGATCTCCAAAGTGTCCCGCAGTGGATTGTTTTTTCTGATGACATTGGAAACGATCTGGACTCTTGGACTATCCAGTGCGAGATAGTGAGCCATGAATTTGTTGGTGGGGGTCCTCCTCCTGAAGATCCTGCACCACACCATTTGGATCACCTGGCTCCTTTTGATTTTTTTGGGCTAGGCCAACCAGGTGCAGGTCCTGTGAATGCAGTGCAGCAAAACAATCAACATTTTTAGGTCGGTCAGGGAAACTTGGGAAACAATCAAGGCCAAGCTGATCAACTTGAAGAAGAGAATCAAGAAGAAGAGGAAATCAACCCCAATGCTCAATGGGATCTCTTAGCAGCTCAGAATGCCCCAAATGTAGCGTGGGATGAATGGCCACCTCAACCCCCTACTCAGAACTTGGAGAACATGGAAATTGATCTGAACAATGCTCTACCTAATCATCAACCCTGTGGCAGCTCCTGATGCCCTGAATGGTGACTTTTTAGACCTGAATGATTTCATGCATGATGTTGAGGAAGAAGTCATACAAGTGGTTGGGCAAAACCCTAGTTTTGATCTGAATAATCTGCCTGTTAACCAAGAGAATGTTCCTCCTGCTAACCAGGAGCAGTTTCAGTTTGCTGAAGAAATGCAATTTTCTAATCTACCAATTGAACCAATGATAGATGATGAAATACCTTTACACATGTTGATGGATGGTAATGAGTTGGACCAAGAAGAGGACCAAGAAGTGGATCAGCAGATGGATAATGCAGCAAATAATATTCTGAATGTGGGCACCGTTTTGATAAGAGGGGAATCATCAGCTGATCCTGTTTTTTTGCAAAGGCAGAGCAATTTCAGAGATGATTATAGTGAGTTCTGGATGACTGCTTCAGAGAATATCCCTGGTAGGAAAGTAAAGGTTTCAGCCCAATGGGCACCCTTCTTTACTTCATTGCTCCTCTCACCTGGGAACTTCAAATGGGCCAAAAGCTTCATTGAATCTGAAGCCTGGGCTTTTTTCAACAAATCCTTGAACTCCACTCTCATTAAAGTTCATGATCACTGTCCAGCACAAAAGCTACCCTGCATTAGTAATGATCACAGCAGCCCTCCCTGCTACCTGAGCAGGTATCAATCAGTTGAATGGAAACCCTCCTTAAAAAAGATAAAAAGAAGAGAAACCCTTTGGTTGAAAGTGAAGTGAGGAGAAGCCTGAGGCTTAAAGAAGCCAATAAATGTTTCAAACCTGGTACTTGTACTAGCAAGAAATGCCTAGCTTGTACACCAAACCCACCAGACCTCTCTCTTGATATGATCAAGAATTTGGGAACAAGCCTCTGCCAGATAGAAGAAAACCATCTCTCTGAAAGCTCCCTGAACCAGAAGAAGAAAAAATCTAGTAAATCTGCTAAAGTGCCACTAAAAGAAAACATGAAGACTGCTGAAGCTACAACCTGATACTCAAGCTGAAGAAGGAATCATACTCCAGAAGAAGAAGATGGCTAAAAAGACTGTGGCAAAGAAGCAACTGAAGGAGAACAAGAAGCCCGATGATGCTGATCGTGACCTTCAAGACCAAGATGGTGCTAACCCTTCACTTGCAGGGGAAGATGCACCAAAGAAGAAATCAAAGAAATGAAGCTCTTAGAGTTGCACAGAGACAAGGATTGGCAACTGCAGTTTTGGGTGCTGGGCAGCTGGCCTCTCCTTTTTTCTCTTAGTCATTTCTGCACTAAATGTGCAGCTTATCTTGTTGATTTGGTCTAGTAGGAAACTTGTGGATGTTAAGTGGGTTCAGTTTGTGTTAAACTCTGTGTTGGTCTGGTGTTGGTCATGTTTCCAGTCAGTGTTAAACTCTTTAGTGCTCAAGTGGTTGGTTTGGTACTGGCTATGTTTATCTGTTGTTAAATGCTTCATTGCCTCATGTCTCCTCTAAGCTTTCTTGTTCTAACATCCTTGGGATGTCTGATTATGATCCTCAAAGTTATAACCAATGAACAATCAAGCTCAAAGAAACTAGAAAGTCCTCTGTTGGAATGTTAGGGGTATTAATTCTGATGAAAAATGGAACCCAATCAGGGATACAATCACTGAGGCTGGCTGTGATATCTACTGCTTTCAAGAAACAAAGAGGCAAACTTTTGATCCTCAATTCTTCAGGAAATTTAGCCCTCCAGGCTTTGGCGCTTTTGAATTCCTTCCCTCCATCTGTGCTTCAGGAGGGCTCATCATTGGATGGAAAAATAGTGTCTTCAGTGGTCAGTTGATTTTCCAAAATAGCTTTGCCATCACTGTGAGGCTTACTACAAGGCACAATAGTAATTCCTGGTTTCTAACTAATGTGTGTAGTCCTTGTACCAATGATGGCAAAAGAAGTTTCATTCAGTGGCTCAAACATTACACAATAAATGATGATGATGATTGGCTAATAGTTGGAGATTTCAATTTAATGAGAAAACCCGAAAACAGAAACAAGCCTGGTGGGGATGTTAATGAAATGTTGATGTTCAATGATGCTATAAGTTCTCTGGGTTTGATTGAGTTACCTTTGTATGGAAGAAAGTATACCTGGACAAACAAGCAGCCATCTCCTCTGATGGAAAGGTTAGACTGGTTCTTCACATCAAGTGCTTGGACCACTAACTATCCTGATTCTTCTATCAGTACTCTTGTGATGCAAACATCAGATCATTGTCCATGCAACATAACTATTTCAACTTCCATTCCAAAGGGACAAATTTTCAGGTTTGAAAACTACTGGTTCCAGCATCCATCTTTTCTGCAAACTGCACAGCAAGGTTGGGAGGAAAGCATCAGTCAAACTGATAAGGCAAAGGCAATCACTGCCAAATTCAAAAGTCTGAGAAAGATACTAAGAAACTGGAAGCAGAAACTATCTGGTCTCAAAAAAAATCTGAATAATGTCAAAGTAGTTTTATCTCTCCTGGAAATAATAGAGAAGTTTAGGGATCTGACAATCATTGAATGGAATTTCAAAGAAGCACTTAATGCAAAGCTGAATCAATTACTAGAGCAACAGAGAATATATTGGAAACAAAGAAGTAAGATCAAGTGGGTCAAAGACGGAGATGCTGGGACCAAACTCTTTCATGCAAATGCAACTCTCAAACATAGGAATAACCTGATAGCACAGCTGCAGAAAGGTAATGGGGAAATAGTGCTTAATCATGCTGAGGAAGAAAAGGTTCTCTAGGAAGCTTTGAAGGATAGATTGGGCCAGTCAGATTTCACATCTATGGCTTTCAATCTGAGTTACTTTTTGGAAATCAATTCAGAGCTGACATGGCTTGAAGACCCTTTCACAAAAGAGGAGATTGATTCAGTAGTGAGAAATTTACCTAATGATAAAGCCCTAGGTCCTGATGGCTTCAACAATGAATTTATCAAAAGGTGCTGGCACTTCATCGAAGAGGACTTCTATGATCTGTGTTTTGCTTTCCAAGATAATTCAGTCTGCCTCCAGAGCATAAATGACTCATACATCACACTTATCCCCAAAATTGATGGGGCTCAGCAGGTTGGTGACTTCAGGCCAATATCTCTACTGAACTGCTCTATCAAGCTGATCACAAAACTTCTAGCAAATAGGCTGTAGACTGTAATCCTTCAGTTAGTGCACCAAAATCATTATGGCTTCATTAGATCAAGAACCATCCAAGACTGTCTTGCTTGGTCTTTTGAGTATCTCCATCTCTGCCATCATTCAAAAAAGGAAATTGTGGCCCTAAAATTAGATTTTGAAAAGGACTTTGATAGAATAGAGCATAAGGTCATCCTGGATGTCATGACACATGGGATTTGGCATGAAATGGAGATCATGGATTGAAGCAATTCTCAGTTCTGGTACTTCGGATGTGTTGTAAAATAGAGTTCCTGGTAAAACTTTCCATTGCAAAAGAGGTGTTAAACAAGGGGACCCTCTCTCCCCTCTGCTCTTTGTTCTGGCTGCTGATCTGCTCCAATCCATCTTGAACAAAGCAGCCCAGCTTAGTCTTTTTAGACTGCCAATTCCAGCTCCAAGTTTGGACTTCCCTATCATTCAATATGCAGATGACACATTAATTGTGCTTGAAGCCTCAGCCACGCAACTCTTCTTCCTAAAAGGTGTCCTTCAATCTTTCAGTGATTCAACTGGGCTGAAAATCAACTTTTCCAAATCAATGATGGTTCCCATCAATCTGAACGGTGATAAGCTATGTCATTTAGCTAGAACCTTTGGCTGTCAAACTAGTTCCTTCCCCTTTACTTACCTGGGGCTGCCCTTGGGCTTAACTAGACCTAAGGTGAATGATTTTCTTCCTCTCATAAGCAAGTGTTAGAGAAGATTGAACTACATCTCTCCTTTTCTTAGTCAAGCTGGCAGACTTGAGCTCACAAACTCAGTTTTGTCAGCCCTTCCAACCTACACAATGTGCTCTATTGTCTTGCCCAAAACAGTGATAAAACAAATTGACAAGTTTAGGAGACACTGCCTTCGGAGAGGAGCAGAAACAAATGCAAAGAAAGTTGCAAAAGCAGCATGGCCAATAGACTGCATCCCTAAAGAAGAAGGTGGACTAGGTGTTCTCAACCTCCAAACTCACAATGAAGCCCTAATACTAAAGCATCTTCACAAATTTTTCAATAGATGTAATCTGCCATGGGTGGAGCTAATTTGGGATAAACACTACATAAATGGGAGATTGCCAAGCTCTAGTGTCCCAAAGGGCTCTTTCTGGTGGAGGGATGCCCTGAAGTTATTAAACAAATATAAAGGTATGGCAAGTGTGACGGTGGCCTGTGGGCAGACATGTCTCCTCTGGGAGGATCTTTGGAATGGCCAAGTAAGAAAACTGCAATTTCCAGAACTATACTCTTTTACAAAAAAACAAGACAATAAGTCTGAACAAGGCCCATAGCACTGCTGTCTTCCATGATCTTTTCAACTTGCCAGTGTCAATAGAAGCATACACACAGTTGCAAGAACTTCAGCTTGAATTCTCATCTTTAGTGCATAATGATTTGAATGATACTTGGACATATATCTGGGGCTCTTCACAGTTTTCATCTTCCAAAGCATACAAAACTTTGACAGGACATTCTCAAGCTGAACCAATTTTTAGATGGCTTTGGAAGACTTCTTGTCAGGGTAAGCACAAAATATTCTTCTGGCTTGCTCTCAGAGATAGATTAAGTACCAGAAACATGATTAGAAGAAGAGGAATGTTCCTAGAAGATTATCAGTGTGTCCTTTGTCAGCATTCTACAGAAGAAACAGTTATGCACTTACTCTTCTACTGCCCTTTTGCAAAGGATTGCTGGGGCCTGGTGAACTTTTACTTTGCTGATCATCTCTTAATCCCTCAATTTTTTCAAGCCTGGAAATCAATGTTGAAGGTCAAGTTTTCCTGGACATTTTCATTCTCTTTTTCTGGGCAATTTGGATGGTACGGAATGATGTTATTTTCAGAAACAAAAATCCATCAGTGGATGATTGCAGAAGTTATGTGACAATGGAAGCACTCTTGCTCTTACATAGAACAAAAGCTAGAATTACTCCCTTGTTAGAATCATGGATCAATTCAAATTTGTAATTCTCTGGCTTTTTTTCCTCTCTTTCTTTGTACCCTGATCCCCTCTGCTGCTGCGGCTGCTGCTCCTGTTCCCTTTCTTGTTTGTAATTGACACTTTATGTTTTTCTCTATTTTAATTTAATCACAGTAGCTCCTGATTCCTCAAAAAAAAAGGAAGTGTTGTACTGTGACTCAAATCCTATTTGAACTAGAAATTAAGAAATGTATACTATTATGACTTTTAATTCTATTTGCACTTGAGCGTAGAATCCTATTATGACTAGGACTTCTACTTGCATATACGAGGGCCTTAGGGGAATATATAAACAGGGGGTGTAGGCATAGACATCAACCAAACCAAGAGTCTCATCCATTACTTAAAAGTAGTTAGGATCGCTTCAAAGGATTTTTTTCTAGACAATTATACTGCATAGATTTTTGTACAGGGTAAGAAACAATGGGTCCTAAAGGGTCAAGTAGAATTATAAGAGTCACTTTTATTATACTCTTTTTGGAGGTGTGCTTATAGAATTTATGATTGGCTTCGATAAATTTTAATCTCTTGTCATGGTTACTTTAGCATGCTCGTCTATGGTCTTCTCCGAAATTCGTCTACGTCGTTCTTAATACGGCACACGTTTGTGTCGTACTCGCAATATCCTGTCAAATATTCGAGGTTGCTACACATAACTAGAGGTATTGGATTCAAACAGGAAGTACTTTTATCATCACTTGTATTGCGATCGTCTATGTTACTACAAGCACAGGTTTTCTCTTTCAGAAGCCACCTTCCATTCCATAAGCTATTTATACACTAGATTGTTCAGCTTTACTAGGAAAATGGAATGCACAAAACTGCCCTGACAAAACATCATTATTACTTATCAGGTCAACCTGATGATCGACATCTCCAATTCCACTATGCGCCATGAGTAACCATACGAAGGTGAGAAGCTCCCCTCCTCTCCCTAGCTGTTGGGCGTGCAGATCCCCTAGGCACTTCCCGGCCGCATAAATAAGTAGCCTCATCCACATATCTCTGATCTCCATCAGCGTCTCAAGCCATGGCCCGGGTTCCTCCTGTTCTTTCAGGCATTCCTCGTCGCCAAACTCCAGCACATTCTCCAATATCTGATAAGCAGTGTCCAGAACACCCTGCTCGTTGCTGTAACTATTCTTGGTTATCTTCTCATAAAAGTTTGCCATTGTATCCTCTGCACTGCCACTGAATGGCAACATTGAAGGCTGCACAACTAAGAGGTACACCATGTAATTTGATATCTTGGTGCATGTGTGCATGATAGTATTGACACTTGATATTGTCTCGTTCATGCCGATGACCTCGTCGTCGTTGGGGCATTTCCTTAGGTGCAGCTCTGTATATGTATGCAAAAGGATGATGTTGTCACCGAAAGAGTTGACACTAGAGTTCAGTGTAGCCTTGATAATTGGACGAAGATGTACCCAGTGTTGCTGTTCAGTTATTCTTGTAAATTCCTCTCGAGCAACACGTCCAACCCATGTGACAACGTCCTCCATGATGTCCTTGTTTACTGTGACATGCTTGGTGTGGCGGAGCTTTCTGACTAAATACTTGCTTTCAACAGCACTTAACGCCTTCCTGATGTAGATGAGTAGTTTGGAGGATGTTCTTGATCGATGACGGCCTATACAGGAGCTCAGGAAGTTATACTGCCCCATTGATTTTGACCACAATATTCTCTTCTCCGGCCAACCAATACTACTCGAGAGAAGAAGCCAGGTAACATGGACAAGCATTTCACACTTTCGGGATTTGAAGAATGCCCAGGTCCATCGTGACATGACTATCAAAATGAATGCACAAACTTCAATAGTAAAGAAGCCAATGAATAACACATAGGTGATTGCAACATCAGCTCTACTGTAATATTGTCTGCTGTTTGCAACTACGAATATCAAAAAGGCACATGTCATCAACACCTGGCTGATGCACCGGAGTATGACTCCAGTCCTTGTACGAAGCACCATGGCCTTGGTGTACAGATCATCGTACATCATGGCAAGCTCTACCTCCAGCAGTTTTAGCACTTGATCCAGGGGTCTGCTGTTTGCTTGGAACTTGAATACCTCACGCACTTTCATCTGGGAGACGGTGCGTCCAGAGAAGAGATCTCGGACTCCTGGCATTGAGCTCAAGACATACAAGACTGTACTCACATAGCTGCCCTTATCAGCTTCAACACCCAGTTTATGCAATTGCCACCTTGTTTCCCTAAGGCCATTTCGGCTGCTGCACTTAAGAGCCCATGTCCTCTCCACATACCTCATGATTCCAACAAGAAAAGTGTTATAAACGATAGGCAATATAAACGACGAAGAACAGTAGATCAAGTATAGAGGACATGAGATTTTAACGTAGAAACCCTCCCAAGGTGGAAGAGAAAAAACCACAGGCACCAGCCAGCAAATCTTCACTATATCGGGTGAGGTTACAAACGTCGGAGAGATTACAACTTGGGGATACCCTAATCTGAAAGTCTATGATACATCTTTTCCATGAGGGAAGTGGTCCATATATATAGGGAGGAAAAATTTTACACCCTCGTCTATTAGCAATACGGAACTAATAGATGGTGTAGTCCATCTTAACGCTAATGGGCCGCTTCGCTTCGGTCTAAGCTTCAATTTGGATCATAGCTCAACAAACTCCACCTTGAGACAAATTCTTTCTTATAGCATAAAATGAACCTTCACCCTGAAACAACAAAGAAATACTTCCGGTGCCAAATAACCTCTTGGGCTAAACAGTTATACCAACTAAACTTGAGCAAAGCTCAAACTTAGCAACAGGAACTGGCTTTGTCAACATATCAGCAGGATTATCATGTGTGCTTATCTTGCATACCTTCAGCTTACCTTGCGCGACCACATCGCGAACATAATGGTATTTGACATTAATGTGCTTCGTTCTCTCATGGAATATCTGATCTTTAGTGAGACATATAGCACTTTGACTGTCATAAAATAAATTAATGCAAGAATCATCTCCACAAAGCTCAGCAAACAAACCTTTCAACTTCTTTACATGCTTCAGCAATAGCCATGTATTCTGCTTCAGTGGTAGACAGGGCAACAACGGGCTGCAATGTTGCCCTCCAACTCACAGCACAACCACCAATAGTGAACACATAACCTGTGAAAGATCTCCTCTTATCTAAATCAGTAGCAAAATCTGAATCCACGTAGCCAGTGAGTCCCTTATTAGTCCTGCCAAACTTCAAACAAGTATTTGTTGTGCTACGAAGGTACCTGAAAATCCACTGAACAGCCTTTCAATGTTCTTTACCAGGATTAGCCATGTATCTACTAATTAAACTCATAGCATATGATAAATCAGGATGAGAGCAAACCATGGCATACATCAAAGAACCAACAACACTAGAATATGGAACTCTTGACATGTACTCAAAATCCTCATCCGTACTAGCACATTGTAAAGCTAATAATTTAAAATGAGGAGCAATAGGAGTACTAACAGACTTTGCATCATGCATGTTGAAACGATGAAGAACTTTCTTAATGTAACTTTGCTGACTAAGAAATAACAAATCAGAATTTCTGTCTCTTATAATTTCCATACCTAGAATCTTCTTAGCAGCACCAAGATCCTTCATCTCAAACTCACTACTCAACAGTTTCTTCAACGTAGTGATTTCTTTCTTGCTCTTGGCAGCAATCAATATATCATCAATATATAACAGCAATATATATAGGTGATCCATCAATAAATTTAATATACACACATCTATCAAATTCAGACCTCTTAAAACCATGTGACATCATAAAAAAATCTAACATTTTATACCATTGACGAGGAGACTGTTTCAAACCATATAAGGACCTCTTTAATTTGCAAACATGATCCTCCTTACCAGGTACTATGAACCCTTCTGGCTGGTCCATGTATATCTCCTCCTCGAGCTCTCCATGTAGAAACGCAGTCTTTACATCTAACTGCTCAAGCTCAAGATCTCGCATAGTAACAATACCGAAAAATGTACGAATTAAACTATACTTTAGAACTGGAGAGAACACATCATTATAATCAACGCTAGGAATCTGACTAAAACCTTTTGCTACTAACCTTGCCTTAAATCTTGGAGGCTCACTAGGAGACAAACTCTCCTTTCTTTTGAAGATCCATTTGCAACGAATGACCTTCTTGTGTTTAGGCAAGCACACAACATCCCATGTGCCATTTTTCTCAAGTGACTGCATCTCTTCTTGCATAGCGGAAATCCACTTCTCGCGATCACCAGAAACAACAGCTTCAATGTATGTAGCCGGCTCATGAATGTTCTCAACCTATTCAGCACAACTAAAGGCATAATGAATAATATCACATTCCTCAATTAAACGTGAACGAGGTCCACAATTTTTCTTTGTTCTACGATCTGCAATAGACTGATTTTGAGGCTGCAAAATAGGAAGTGAGTGCTGAACAATATCATGAACATTGTTATCAACAATTTCAGTTTCCTGATCTTCTACGTGCTCCACCTGCACGCTAACATGTTTCTGCTCCTCATCAGAACCAACTGGTGAAACATCTGTGGACAAGATGTCATTAAACATAACAAATTCATTGAAAACAACGTTCCTGCTCATGAAAGTCTTTTTAGTTTCAGGATTCCATAACTTATATCCTTTAACTCCAAAACCATAACCAAGAAACAGACACTTAATGGCTCTAAGTTCTAGCTTTCCATTATCAACATGAGCATAAGCAGTGCAACCGAAAACTCTCAACTGTGAATAATCAGCAGGCATACCAGACCATACCTCAATGGGAGTTTTCTTATTAAGTGGGATAGAAGGTGACCGGTTGATCAAGTAACATGTGGTGTTAGCAGCCTCAGCCCAAAAGCGCCTGTTCATACGAGCATTGGACAACATGCAACGAGCCCTCGAGATGATGGTTCGGTTCATGCGCTCAGCCACACCATTCTGCTGAGGAGTGTATGGGATGGTGTGGTGCCTGACAATGCCTTCTTCCCTGTAGTAATCATTAAAAGCATCCGAACAGAATTCATCGCCGTTGTCAGTACGAAGCAATTTTACCTTCTTTTTAGTTTGCCTTTCTATCATAACTTTCCACCCTTTAAAAGCAGCAAAAGTATCATCTTTATTTTTCAGAAAGTAAGGCCACACTTTTCTAGAGTAATCATCAATAATGGTAAGCATGTAACGAGCACCACCATAAGAGGGCTTACGAGACGGCCCCCACAAATCAGCATGTACATAATCAAGTGTACCTTTGGTGGTATGAACAGATGCATTGAATTTTACCCTCTTGTGCTTACCAAAAACACAGTGCTCACAGAACTTCATCTTACCCACAGTGCAGCCATCCAACAGGTCTCTCTTGATCAATTCTGCCATACCAAGTTCACTCATATGCCCAAGACACATATGCCTGAGATTAGTTTTACTTGGTTCATCATTAGAAACAGTAGCAACAGTGACGGAACCATGTAAAGTACTTCCTCTAAGAACATATAACTATGTAGAATTCATATCATCTATCATATGAATGAGAGAGCCTTTTGATACCTTACACACTCCACCTGAACCGGAGTGTCTGTACCCCTCGGCATCAAGTGTGCTGAGGGAGATGAGATTTCTGACCATCCCTGGTATGTGTCTCACATCTTTCAGTGTGCGTATCATGCCATCATGCATCTTGATCTGAACGGAGCCAATGCCCACAATCTCACGTGGGTTGTTATCTCCCATACGCACGACATCTCCACTCTACACAGACTTATAAGAACTGAATCAATCTCTTTTAGAGCATATATAAAACGAGCATGCAGAATCAAGTATCCATTCATCACGACCAGCAACACAACCAGCAAAAACAACAAGAACATCTCCTGAATCAGAATTATCAACAGCGGAGACAACAGAGGCCTTACCATCACCATCGGATTTATTTTTCGGTTTATACGTACCGTTTCTTTTCTCCTTATTCTGCAGCTTCTAACAATCCTCAATGATATGGGTATCTTTCTTACAATACCTGCAGAACTTATCTCTGCCTCTGGACTTCGAACGGCCTTTAACGTTCTTGCTCTTGTCTCGATTATTGTTGTTGTTGTAGGTTTTCTGCTCGGGCCTGCCTCTAACCTGCAACACTTCGCCCTTGGAGGAGGACATATCGGACTGAACCATACCTTTTATCTTTTCCCTCGTCTGGAGGGCCTCATACACTTCCGTAAGGGTTAGTTCATCACGGCTTAATAGTATGCTATCTCAGAAATTTGCAAACAAAGTAGGCAGTGAGCATAATAGTAGAAGAGCTAAATCATCATCATCATATTTTACCTCCATTGACACTAGGTCGGTAATGATCTCCTTAAAGATCGATAAGTGGTTCATCATCGAACCACCTTCTTGCAGCTTGTGCGTGAACAACTTCATCTTCACGTGCATCTTACTGTTTAGATCCTTGGACATGCAGATTGATTCTAGCTTGAGCCAAAGTTCTACGGCAGTTTTCTCCTGTAGCACTTCTTGCAAAATATCATTATGTAGATAAAGTTGAATCAGAGACAAAGCCTTACGATCCTTCCGCTTCTCTTCAATGGTCCATGACTTCTGCCCTTTTCCTCCGAAACCATCCAGCACCTCATCAAGATCCGAAGATTATGCCAGAATCGCCCGCATCTTGACTTGCCACAGTGCAAATCTCATCTTGTAATCCAGCAACGGTAGATCAAACTTCATCGATGCCATCGCGAAACCCTAAGGTCAAACCAAGCTCTGATACCACTTGTTATAAACAATAGGCAATATAAACGACGAAGAATAGTAGATCAAGCACAGAGGACACGAGATTTAAATGTGGAAAACCCTCCCATGGTGGAAGGGAAAAAACCACGGGCACCAGCTAGCAAATCTTCACTATATCCGGTGAGGTTACAAATGTCGGAGATTTACAACTTGGGGATACCCTAACCTGAGGGGCCTTCCCGTATAGAAGTCTATGATGCATCTTTTACATGAGGGAGGTGGTCCATATATATAGGGAGGAAAAACCCGACACCCTCGTCTATTAACAATATGGAACTAATAGATGGTGTAGTCCCTCTTAACGCTAATGGGCCGCTTCACTTCGGCCCAAGCTTGAATTTGGATCATAGCTCAACAAAAAGCAAGTATGGCTGGAGCTAAAATCTTCAAGTTGTGCCGACCTGTCGACTTCCAAAAGGCGTATAAGGCCAACAAGACTTGAATGGACAGGTTCATCAGGTGCCTCAGCCACAAGTTGTTGTCCTCCATAGAGAAAGTAGTCAGGGTGTCTTGCCCACCAAGATGGATGAGAAGGAATGGCACCCAGAAGAAAGCTAGCTGGTTGTGATTTAAGTCAAAATGATTTGGATTATTAGTTCCATGGAATCCAACTAATGTTGTGGCATTCTGATCATTCTTGGATATGAGTCCAAGGGCATAGACTGCAACCATGTCTGCCCCTACATAGGCTAACCAGATGGAAACCCTAAGAAGGGTGTTTGTGTTGTACCGTCTAATACCGCCACCAAAGAATAGGAAGATTTGCATGGTGAAGCTGAGTTACTCCATAGCTGTACCAATCCCTCCACTGTTAAGTTCATGTTTAATAGACCATGTGCTTATGTATCCCCAATGCACTGCATGTAGCACAAATACATTTATGTTATTTTCTAAGTGAAAATGCAGATTCTTGCATTTAAAACAAAATATTAAGGAAGAGAAGACAGATCGATCGAGATTAACATGCTTCAGGTTAATCAGATATAGAATTAAGTAACTATGAAAGCCATTGCAATTGTTTAGAGGAAACAATTATGCATCAACAGCAGTCGCTGGAGTTGTAAATCAAATACAACTGTTGTCCTATTGAAATGTACTATGATGATTCCAAAACCAGATCTAGTGGCCGGTCTTCATAATCAAGGGAACCAAAATCTAACAACTTTAAAGGCACTGCTACACTGATAGGCGATAGCCAAAGTCAGCAAAGCTGCACTGATAGCATTTCTGCAGATGTTCACCAGAAGCCTTTCATACTTTATGCACCCAAGTATGTTTAATTGGATCAGCCATCATTACAGGATAATTTGATGGGTAGCAAGAGCGATATTGGGAGATAATTAAGGATAATGTAACCTCAACATGATAGCAATGCAGTCTTAAACCAATTACAGGAATGGCATAATCTGGTTGCACGCATTGCGAATGTTAGATTACAAGCTGGTAGTGATTCAATTTTATGGCCTTTGAACAAAAATGGTACCTTCACTGTGAAGTCTCTATATTGGGTCCTAGTCAGTAATGGTATTAAGGTCACACAAGAAATTTGGCGAACAAAATTACCTTTGAAAATTAAGGTCTTCTTATGGTTCCTGAAGAAGAGGGCCATCCTTACTAAAGATAATTTAGCTAGAAGGAATTGGAATGGTAGTAAATTATGTTGCTTCTGTAGTAATACTGAATCCATCCATCACCTCTTCTTTGAATGTTACCATGCTAGATTTCTATGGCGTGCTTTACATATTGTGTTTGGTTTAGTGCCTCCTGTGAGTGTGGAAAATTTATTCTGTGGTTGGCATAAACACGGAGGCAATAAGTACAATTCACTATTACTGACCGGTGCTGTGGCTTTTTGTTGGTCAATATGGCTAACAAGGAATGACATGGTCTTTGGTAACTCTCAACCTAAAACGTATTTGCAGGTTCTGTTCAGTGGAACACGTTGGTTACACAATTAAGCCCAATTGCAGCAAAGTGACAAGGAAAAGATGGCATCATACATGCATGTGGCAAGTTGGAGTCTGCAGCGATGGCCTTCTTTGCTTTCCATGGATGGCCCTTTACTTTTAGGCTTGGTCTTAATTAAAGATGTTTGAGAACTTTGTGTTCTTTTGTATGGTAAACCTTGTAATAAGCTTTGTCTAATTCCTATAGTAAGAGGATGAAGCCGGATATTATTTCCTTTATCTAAAAAAGCAATGCAGTCTTAGTGACACCCATCTTCTTTCCTCAAGGCTACAACACTTTGACAGCAATGATATGACAGGATAACCACTATACACTTGGTGGACTGATGACGAAATAGGAATTATTTGTTAAATGAAAGTGTCTGCCACCTAAATTAGAAAAAATAGGAATTGAGCTACACCCTGAGATTGTTGCAACATAATTGACACAGTAACATAGGAATGTTAGGATATCTAGAACAACATTATAGCAAAAGGAAGGACTTAATAAATAAGTAGAAAAAGTCAAAGGTACATATTCTAAGCTGTGCGCCAGTGCTGACCTGATTATTGAATATTTCTTGTTGGACCACACAAACATTTGATATTGATCAAATGCTCAAATGCTTGTATATGGTGCAATGTGTGCTTAAAAATTGCTTACACTTCATCAATTTATACTTCAGAATTATGCAACAAACGGATGCTCATACCGTTAAAGGGTAGGTATCATGGTGGACCAATACCAGTGCAGGAAGCGCAGCCGTGGCTGAGTGCTAGCACGAGGTCACCACGCCCACCGACGCCGGTCATCCTATTCTTTATGATTTCAATTAGTGGAATTATTTTGATTAGTCGCAAGTTGTTAGGATTTGGCTATAAAGCCTGAACTCTTTGGTTAATGAAAGGCTAAGCTAGAGATTGATTAGATCTCTGTGGCAACAGCACAGAGTCCCAGCCATGCCGCCGCCCGAAACCAAAACCCTGGCTTCCCACCTCATTCACACTACGTGAAAAACGGTTTGTAGCAACGGGACATTTTTTTTGTAGGGGCGGCTGGTGATGGAGCCGCCCCTACAATGGCGTGTTCGAGAGCCACGAGACTAGCCACCCCTACAAATGGAACAACGGGGGCGGCTGGTGATACGAGCCGCCCCTACAAATGGGTCGGATTTATAGGGGCGGCTCACTCACCAGCCGCCCCTGGTGTTGCTATTTGTAGGGGTGGCTCAATCACCAACCACCCCTACTATGCGAATTGTAGCCGTTTATCCGAAGTACCAGGTTCGCCCCCCCGCCCCCAGACGTCTGCTGCCCCCGTGCGCTCTCACACTCTCTCGCCGCCCCCACGCTACGCCAGGTGCTGAGGGGCTTCGCCGGGCCCTTGGCCGCTCGCCAACGACGAGCGAGATCTCACGACGATCACTCACCAGGTTCGTCCGCCCCTGCCTGCCTTCCCTTTCCCGCTGCGCGAAACCAAGCTCCCCAACCCTAACATAAGCTATTTGCTATCTGCGCCAGATCTGTGCCTCCCTGCACGCGGGCCGCGGTGGCGGCGGCATTCCGGCGCGCGGGTGGCTGCGGCGGCTGGATCTAGGTGCGCGAGCCGCAACGCCGGCGGGATTCCGGGGCAGCCGTGGCGACGGCGGCTAGTTCTTGGCGTGCGGCGACAGTGCAGGGGTGGCCGGATCCGCATGCTCGTCGGCCGGATCCAGTGGTGGCTGGTCCGGGCTCGCCTCCCCTCCGCGCGGTGACGACCGGACTACGGTCCTACAAGCGCGGTGGTGGCTCGATCCGCGCGGTGGCGACCGGATCTGAGGTCCTAGAGGCTGGATCCGTGGGATTGGTGGCCTGAGCTGTGCGGAGGGCGTCCGGGCATGGACTCCTTGGCTCCTTCCATTTCCGGTAGATCTGGGCGCCCTTAAGGTGAGCCGCCCACACCTGGAACCCTACCCCGTCTTGACCTCCTTGGCTCCTTCCATTTCCGGTAGATCTAGGCACGATTCGCCGATCCACAGTGGCGTCACTTGTGGTCGCGTCGCGAGGCGGTGGATCCTTCTTGTCGGTGACCTGTCCGTCGTCCGAACGCGCGCGGGCTTGATATGTGAGCCTGGGAGCTGAGGGGCATTTCTGGCGTTGCAAGCGCTGATCGTTGTTTGAATGTTTGTCCTATCCTATTGTCTGTTGAATTGGGGACATGGTTTGTTTGAGATGCGATGTTGAGTGGCCTTTAGCTTGTTTGTAGAATCGCTATGTGAATGTGGGCTTTGGGGGGCAAGTGGAATCTGTGCTTCTGCGGATGTTTGTGATGGCACGAAAACTTGCGTAGGGTGGTGAGTTATGCTAAGTCCGCGCTGATCATTTGTTCTCAAGGGTCGAGTTAGTTGCTTGATCCCTGATCATATGAAGCTTTACGGCTTTGACCACTGAACTATAATATAGGTTCTTTCCTTTTATTTTAGAGGCATGGGGCAGATGCTCAAATGATGAATGTTGCAATCAGGTGTGCCAGCACAAGTGTTGCACAGGGGTCGTCTGGTGGCTTCTGGACCTGGTTGACTGGTGCGCGCTCAAATGAAATACCTCCTCCAGATTTCACACTTCCGGGCATGACTATTCCTCCTACGCTACCTGATCATGTGGAGGCTGGCAAGACAAGAGTCACAACACTTCCCAATGGTGTTAAAATAGCCTCTAAGACATCTGCAGTATGTCGTCTTTGTGTTTATATGGTTACTCATTCCATCCATGCCCTCATCAGCAGCCGATAATAATAGGGTGTTCTCTATTTCCTATTCAGGGATCATCTTGCTCTGTTGGAGTTTATGTTGATTGTGGTTCTGTATACAAAGCACCTGAAACAACAGGTGCCAGTCAACTGTTGAAGACGATGGCCTTCGCAACCACTGCCAACAGGAGCGAATTGCGGGTTGTGCGTGAAATTGAGGCAATAGGTGGTAGTGCCAAAGCATCTGCTGGCCATGAGATGATGAACTACACTTACGGGGCCCTGAAGACTTACATGCCTAAAATGGTTGAGGTGCTTATTGATTGCGTACGCAACCCTGCTTTTCTTGATTGGGAGGTCAAGGAATAGGTATTTCATCTTGGTGTCATCCCCTTCCACATGTCTGTTTTAGTTTAATGTATCATGTTCTTTGCTGACATAGTGACATGTTTCCTTTTCAGATTTTGAGGCTAAAGGCAGAGATTGCGAAATCATCAAGTAATCCTGAAAAATTCCTTTTGGAGGCTCTTCATTCTACTGGCTATTCTGGTGCTTTAGCAAACCCACTAATTGCGTCAGAATATGCAATTAGCAAATTGAATGCAGATGTCCTGGAGCAATTTATAATTGTGAGATTCATCTCCAGAATTTATTTAGTATTCTTTATGTCCTGGTATCCTTGTTGACGTGTTATTTGTACTTTTTGTTGCATGGGTATCAGGAGAACTACACTGCTCCCCGAATTGTTCTAGCTGCATCAGGTGTTGATCATGATGAATTGGTATCTATTGCTGAACCCCTTCTGTCTGACATTCCCAGTGTATCTGGAACAACAAGGCCTTTTTGTTTTGTTAGCACTTGAGTGCTTGCTTGGTCTTTTTGTGATATAGATATATGTTTTGTTGTCATAATATGAGTCTATTTGTTATTATTGTGATTCTTGTACTATAGAAGATGTTTAGAAACTTTTGGCTAAACAATCTTGTTTGAGCCACAATATTACAGTCAAGTTTGCCAGGATATTTGATCATGTATTTTACTGATGATTTGGGGGAGCACGTGTTGGTAATTTATTTTTTTTGTGGAGAAATGCACTGTAGGGGGCTGGTACTGTAGCCGCCCTACACAAATCGATTTGTAGAGATGGTCTGGGAACCGCCCCTACAAATGCATGATTTGTAGCCACCCCTTCGTAGGGGCGGCTGGCAAAACCGCCCCTGCAAAGGGTTACGAGCCCCTCTAAAAAACGGTTTTTACGTAGTGTCAGCTACTACATGTGCAGTAATCCACGTTCCAACAGTAGGGTAATGCAGCGAGTCTCACCTTCTGCTTTCACCCAACCGGAACCGGTGTTGATATCTTTACATCTCAAGGGAAGAAGCATTTCTGAAAATATGGGCATGGACTTTGTTTAGATCGACATGAAGACAATGAGTGCAAAGATTGCATTGCACATAGGCAAATATTGTTGATACTCATTTTTGAATTCCACATATAACATTAACGAACAATTGCAGAGGGTGGTGCCTGTTACCTGAGAGCAAGAAACAGAGAGGGCTCCGTTAATCCAAGGTGATGCATCAAGCATGACACGTCAGTTAGGTAGTTAGGTAGTAGAAACACTAGGAGAGACGGATAGATAGAGGAGACAGGTAAGAACTCTCATCTGTGATAGGGCAACGAGAAAATAAGAAAGAGCAACCCAGTCATGAAAGAAAAGAGACTTTTCTGTCCATCTGTCTCTTGCTTCTTCCATGCATCCTCTGGATTCTCCTGTCAGTCATAAGGTGAGAAAAGGGTAGCTTGGATAGCACCAGGTACAGAAGAGGTGCTTTGTGTGATCTACACGATTGTATTTGCCAACCAAAAAAATAAATAAAAAATAAACATGTCTTTTACTCTGGGGAGGGCATGGAATGATGGAACTTCTTGTAGGGAGGACAATGGATCACTTGGGACAGTGATGGATCTTTGGATAGTGATGGCTCTAGTGATGGCAAGAAATATATCAAGAAAGCACTAGCAAGCATCGCCATCAATAACAAGCCTTCCATCTTCGACACTCAATCGACATGCCTCATGACAAAGCCTACCAAGGTAAAATATGATGTAAGTGATGATGATTGTGAAATTGATGATTGTAGGAGTGATGATGAGGAGGAGTACACTAAGGAGGAGCTCATGGACATGTGTGAGCAAGTGCATACTTGCTTTGAGATGAAGATAAAGGAGTGCAAAGAATTGCACAAGAAGATCAAATCTCTTGAGCAATCCTTTGATGAGCTAAATGCCTCTCATGAGAGTCTAAGGGAAGACCATGAGATGCTTGGCAAAGCTCATTCTAAGCTTTTAAAGGCTCACTCCTCTCTCCTCAAGCAAGTCAAGGAGGAAGAAGCCAAGAAGAAGCAAGTGATTGTATCATATGATGTGGGACTAACATGTGATATTCTTGATGAATCTTTTTTACAAACCAATTGTTGTTGCTCCCACTAACCCTTCTTGTAGCACCACCACTACTACTTCACCTTTGAGTGATGGTTTCACTTGTGATGCCTCACTAATGGTGGAAAATGAGACCCTCAAGATGGAGGTGAATGAGCTCACTTGTGCCTTAGGCAACGCCTATGGTGGAGATGCCCACTTGCTAAAGTGCTTGGGTAGCCAAAGATTTTCTCTCAACAAAGAGGGATTAGGCTATACCCTCAAGAAAGGCAAGACGTCCTTTGTCACTCCCAAAGCTAGCTTTGTGAAGGGCAATGGTCGGTTTTGTAATAGATGCAAGCAAGTTGGGCATATAGAGCAATATTGCAAGATTAACAAGAACAAGCAACCTAATGTATCCTCAATTAGATTTGATTCTTGTTATATGCTTGTCAAGGATGCCAATGGTGTGAAGGCTAAGTTCATTGGTACACCAATTGTGGGCCCAAAGAAGAAGGACATTTGGGTACTAAAGACCTTAGTAACTAACCTTCAAGGATCCAAGCAAGTTTGGATACCTAAAAAGAATTGATCTTCTTTTGTAGGTCAATTATAAAGTTGGAGGAAGGTATTGGGTACTTGATAGTGGGTGCACACAACACATGACCGATGATTCAAGAATGTTCAATTCAATCAACACAAATGATAGCAATGGTTATGATAGTATCACATTCGATAACAATGGCAAAGGCAAGGTCAAAGGGCTTTGTAAGATTGCAATATCCAATGACTTGAGCATTTCCAATGTGCTACTAGTAGAGAGCTTGAACTTCAACCTATTGTTGATAGCTCAATTATGTGATCTTGGTTTCAAGTGCATATTTAGTGTGGATGATGTAGAGATCATTAAGTGTAGATGGTTCTAACTTGATATTCATGGGATTTAGATATGAAAATCTATACTTGGTTGACTTCAATGCTAGAGAAGCTCAATTGTCAATATGTTTGCTCACTAAGTCTAGCATGGGTTGGTTATGGCATAGAAGGCTTGGTCATGTTGGAATGAAACAATTGAACAAGTTGATTAAGCATGATCTAGTTAGAGGCTTGAAAGATGTCACATTTGAGAAGGATAAGCTTTGTAGTGCATGTCAAGTCGAAAAGCAAGTTGGCAACACACATCCTAAGAAGAGCATGATGAGTACATCTAAGGCATTTGAGTTGTTGCACATGGATTTGTTTGGACCAACCACTTACACTAGCATTGGTGGAAATAAATATGGATTTGTGATTATGAATGATTTCACTAGATACACTTGGGTGTTCTTTCTTGTTGACAAGAGTGATGTGTTTGCAACCTTCAAAACTTTCATCAAAGGAATTCACAATGAGTTTGAAATAACCATCAAGAAAGTGAGAAGTGACAATGGAAGTGAGTTCAAGAATACAAGAATTGTTGAGCTTTGTGATGAGTTTAGAATTAGGCATCAATTCTCAGCCAAGTACACTCCTCAATCAAATGGCCTAGTTGAGAGAAAGAATAGAACATTGATTGACATAGCAAGATCAATGTTGAGTGAGTACAATATGAGTCATTCATTTTGGGCCGAAGCAATCAACACGGCTTGCTACTATAGCAACCGACTCTATTATCATCCCATGATGGAGAAGACACCATATGAGCTCTTGAATGGAAAAAGCCTAATATTGCATACTTTTGGGTTTTTGGATGCAAATGCTACATATTGAAGAAAGGCACTAGATTGAGCAAGTTTGAGAAGAAATGTGATGAAGGTTTCTTGCTTGGTTACTCCACTACTAGCAAGGCTTATAGAGTTTGGAATTTAGCTAGTGGTACTCTTGAGGAGGTTCGTGATGTGGAATTTGGTGAAACCAATGGTTCCCAAGAGAAAGATGAGAATCTAGATGATGTGAGAGGCACTCAATTGGTCAATGCAATGAAGAACACGGACATTGGTGACATAAGGCCTAGAGAAGTGATTGATGTTGAAGATGACAAGAATCAAGTACTCTCTAACTCAAAGGTGCAAGCTAGTGGTTCTCATGATCAAAATCAAGCAAGTGCTAGTGATGACAAAGTGAAGATCAACAACAAGTGGCTAGTTCATCATCTCAACCAAGTGATCAATCAAATACAAGCAATCAAGTGCAAGTGCTCCAACCAACCAATGTTGCAAGAGATCATCCATTGGATTCTATCATTGGTGATATCTCAAGAGGTGTATAAACAAGATCAAGATTGACATCATTTTATGAACACTTCTCATTTGTGTCTTCCATTGAACCTAAGAAGATAGATGAAGCTTTGCTAGATGTTGATTGGGTGAATGCTATGCATGAAGAGCTAAACAACTTCATAAGAAATCAAGTATATGAGTTAGTTGAGAGGCCTAAGGAACATAATGTGATAGGAACCAAATAGATCTTTCGCAACAAGCAAGATCAAGATGGGATAGTTGTAAGGAATAAAGCAAGATTAGTGGCTCAAGGTTACACTCGAGTTGAAGGTCTTAACTTTGGAGAAACATATGTCCCGGTTGCAAGATTGGAAGCTATTAGGATCTTGTTAGCCTATGCTTGTGCCCATGACATCAATTTGTACGAAATGGATGTGAAGAGTGCATTTCTAAATGGATACATCAATGATATTGTGTATGTTGAGCAACCTCCTAGTTTGAAGATGTGAAGAAGCCCAACTATGTCTACAAGTTGAAAAAGACTTTGTATGGATTGAAACAAGCACCTAGAGCATGGTATGAGAGATTGAGGGTTTCCTACTCTCTAAGGGGTTCAAGATTGGAAAGGTTGACACCACTCTCTTCACCAAGTAAGCTTGGCAATGACTTGTTTGTGTTGCAAATCTATGTTGATGATATCATATTTGGATCAACTAATCAAGATTTTTATGAGTTTTGGCAAGATGATGGCAAGTGAGTTTGTGATTTCCATGATTGAAGAGCTTAGTTACTTCCTTGGTCTTCAAATCAAGTAAATGAAGAATAGCACATTTGTGAGTCAAGGCAAGTACATCAAAGAAATGCTCAAGAAGTTTGGAATAGATGATGCTAAAGCAGTTAGTACACCAATAGGGACAAATGAAAACTTGGATAGTGATGCTAGTGGCAACATGGTGGATCAAAAGATGTATCGGTCTATGATTGGAAGACTACTCTATGTGACCGCATCAAGGCCAGATGTGATGTTTCATGTATGCATGTGTGCTAGATTTCAAGCCTCACCAAGAGAGTCATTTAAAGGCAACCAAGAGAATGTTGGATTCTGATATCCCAAAGGAGCAAGATTTGAGTTGATTGAATATTCGGACTCTAATTATGCGGAATGCAAAGTTGAGAGGAAAAGCACATCGGGCACATGTCAACTATTGGGAAGATCATTGTGTCTTGGTTGTCAAAGAAGCAA